ATACACTAGTTAATGGATAAAAGTGCAAATACGTTTGGTAAAACAGTAATTTCACATGAAAGCTATTATGGATCAAGACCTGCTCTAAAACCAAAAAGAGTAGAGGTACCAACTCATTAATTTTATAGAAATGTGACCCGAAAAGCTTCCCAAAATAGAAATGTTATGGTAAGGAGTTAATGTTAATGAAAGCTTGACTGGTTGGTTATTTATGTTGCCAGGAGTTGTGATTTAGGAGGGAGGAGGTGTCATCAGCCAAGAAGGGGTGCGGGGATTTGTATAAACTAACTTAAACAACATTTTTCACAACACCATCCAAAGACCAAAGTTGGGGTGGGGGGACACTAGAAACTCTAGTTATAAACCAAACCAGCTACTGACGCTGCTCTATTTTTGTCTCACAAACCAATAATGTGACTGACTTAAGGCTGTTTGTTGTTGTTATATTGTGTTCAATCAAATTGGTATTGGTGCGTGCGTATTGCAACTTCCGCTAATTGTCATTCTAGTCATACAATAATATGGATGCATTTGCACTTTTTTTTTTTTTTTTTTTTTTTTTTTTTGATTTACAAGATCCCAGCTAGGAAAATAATGTGAACTGGAGAGTTGTAGATTTTCTATTTTTGTTGTCTATGCGCTACATTTACTTTAAAAATGAAGATATGATGTTGGCCATACATGCACAAACTATTCTAGAAGTGACATGGCCTGTTATTTATCCTATCAACTTGTACATTAACAGTGTGTTTGGCAGAACTAATAGGTTATTGAAGTTGGTTTCTAAAATTGTAAAATTGTGCTATGTATTGAAAATTTTCTTAAAAGCTAAAAACTAAAAACTCTTAAAAGTTTGTTATCGAAAACTTCCTAATTCTAATACTAAACATTCTTAAGGGCTTTTAAGGTGACATAATAATACCGTGTCATCAATAGCTAAAACAAAACATTTTTAAGTTAGAAAGTTCAATAGCAAAATACACAAAATAAATAAATAAATAGATAAACATTATAATTCCATGTCGTTGCTCTAAAATTTGCGTTTAGTGTATACACAATATATCGCGAGATTAGCATGTTATTCTAATAACAATATACCGGAGGAAATGTAGTTTTAGTTAAAAAGACAAACCGAATTATTAGTTTGCAGTTGGAAGAATAGAAGTTTGTAGACACGTCAACTTACTAGGATTTTAATTATGGTCATAGTAGTTTTGATATTGTGTACGAAAATAATTAAAATGGTTTATGATAATCGTTAGTTATTGGAAAGTTTGTTGTTTAACTATTGTTCATTTAGCTATAATCAACAATCCACATCCAACCCATAAATTTTACACTAATCACGAACACACAAATCACAATGACGAGTTGACGACATGCACGATTTGGGCCCATTGCCAATGGCTCCTTTAAAATGGCTCCAAGAACAACCCCTTTACTGCTGGCTTGCTCATATCATTTCCCGCCAGTTCTTCGCTATCACAATTCATACGCACACATCCTCTCCGTCTCCTTGAAAGATGCTTTGGGTGGACAAATACAGACCAAAATCTCTGGACAAGGTTCTTGTACACGAAGATGTCGCTCAAAATCTCAAGAAATTGGTACTCCTTAATACACCCTCTTTAACTTTCTGGAATTTAGTTGTTTACCCCGAAAACTAGGGTTTCTCATTTAGATCGTTGTGATATTATCATATATGTATTAGGTCACCGAGCAGGATTGCCCACATTTACTCTTCTATGGCCCATCGGGTTCCGGGAAGAAAACCCTAATTATGGCCCTTCTCAGGCAGATGTTTGGGGCTAGTGCCGAGAAGGTCTCTCTAAAATCCTATCTCTTCTCTCTTTTGTTTAATTTTATGTCCCTCTAATCGGATGATGAAAATGTCTGTTCTTCCTGAATTTGATTAATTTACAGGTGAAAGTGGAGAACAAAACCTGGAAAGTTGATGTAAGTATCCCCTTTCTGAATTATTTGTTATTCCTGATTATGCAGAGGTAACTATCACGCAGTATATAACAAGATTGAAACATGGCTCTTTTGCAGGCTGGAAGTAGAACTATTGATTTGGAACTGACGACTCTTTCAAGCACCCACCATGTGGAGCTGAACCCAAGTGATGCTGGATTCCAGGATCGTTACATTGTTCAAGAAATCATTAAAGAAATGGCAAAGAACAGACCAATTGACGTTAAAGGAAAGAAGGGTTTCAAAGGTTTGCAAACAAGTATTCTTATATATATATATATATATATATATATATATATATATATATATATATATATATATATATATATATATATATATATATATATATATGTGACATCTGTCCTACCAATATGCTCATGGTGTTTCATATATGCTGTATCAGTATTAGTACTCAATGAGGTTGATAAACTTTCAAGAGAAGCACAACACTCTCTAAGAAGAACAATGGAGAAGTACAGTGCCTCCTGTCGGTTGATCCTATGCTGTGACAGCTCATCAAAGGTTACTGAAGCTGTTCGCTCTCGTTGTCTTAATGTGCGAATAAGTGCACCAAAAGAAGACCAGGTCAGTATTTGCAGTTTCAGTTTTAGTAGGAATGAATAACTGATTGATTATACATAGGAATATTAATAGGGATGTATGCCAAACTTGTTTTTTTTTTTATTCAGATTGTTAAGGTTCTGGAATTTATTGGCAAAAAGGAGGGATTACAACTTCCTCCTGGATTTGCAGCTCGCATAGCAGAAAAATCTGGTCGGAGTTTAAGGAGGGCTATATTGTCATTTGAGACGTGTCGTGTCCAACAGTTAAGATCAGTTATTTCTTGTGTTTTCTTGTGGTGTTTTTTAAAGGAATACTAATATGAGACGTTTTTTTTTTTTATTCTCATAGGTACCCTTTTACTAATAATCAAGTAATCCCCCCAATGGACTGGGAAGAATATGTATCTGAGATAGCAGCTGACATTATGAAAGAGCAGAGCCCTAAAAGGTTTATATCTTGTATGTTTATACATATTGTACACTATATGTATATGCTTTCATTATATTTTTTTTACTTATTTTTATGTGTATATGTTTATATAGGTTGTTCCAGGTTCGGGGGAAGTTGTATGAGTTACTTGTGAATTGTATCCCTCCTGAAGTTATATTGAAGGTTATAATCTCTCCTCTCATAGAACTGGTCTGAATTTAGTTTTGCTGTAATTGAAATTGAAGATTTTTTTTGTTATGTATCAGAGACTGCTTCAGGAATTGCTGAAGAAACTAGATTCTGAGTTGAAGCATGAGGTCTGTCATTGGGCAGCATATTATGTGAGTTCACTGTTCTTGCTATTGTCCCATTAAAGATTTTCTAAAACCATTATTCTTTTAGTATTAATATATATATTTTTTCTTTTTTTCTTTTAGGAACATAGGATGCGCCTTGGACAGAAAGCCATATTTCACATTGAAGGTACATCTATCTATATTCTCTTTTGAATTTTATAATAATTTATAGCGATTGCTATTAACCATGCATGCAGTAGACTGAATTGGTGCATTGACCAAGTTTTTATCTTTTATACCTCCTTGATGAAAAAGGAAATGTTGCAACTTTCAAGTGAAAAGATTGATGTTTTATCTGTCTTGTGATTTGCAGCATTTGTGGCCAAGTTCATGAGCATCTACAAAGGCTTCCTTATTGCGACATTTGGCTGAGCTCAACCATCATGCTTTATGAACCTATTATGCTTCAAACTTCAATTGACTTGTTAAGAACACCCCCCCTTCCTTTTTATGTTGTTTTCTACTTCATCTTTTGAGGTTAGGGAATAGATTTTGTAATGGAATGTAAGAACCCTTCTATATGTCAGTTGTAAGTTATTGCAGACTTTTATGTGTTGATTAAAATCGTGTTCTTCTGTTAAGTTTGGTTTATAAATTTCTTTGTTTACACTAGAATTTTGAGATGTCATTAATTCAACTTTTATTAAGTCAACAAATTGTTCGTAAAATAATGAATTTGGATATTTGGAAGCACCCCCAATCATCACAAACAAAGAAATATTACAACCATCCTTGTCTCGTAGGCCTTTGTACAAAAACTTGTGTAAAAGAGGTTTTGAAAGGTATAGAGAAAAACATGACAGAGATAGAAGTAGAGATCCACAGAAATACTGGATAGGACAAAAAATTCTGATCCGATTTGAAAATTGGTTTAAACCGAAACAGATTTGCCAAATCTGGATCATATTAATCAGATCCGCCAGATTAGGACCATATTCATATTCTGCGACTGCAGCTGAATTTGACCCCAGATCAGAAACTGGATTGGCCCAAATCTGGATCCAAATCCACCCAAATCAGATAAAAATGGTTTGAATCCGGATTAGGACCAGATCAAAATCCAACTGAAACCAGATCCAGGTCGGATTTGGTGTTTTTGCACCTACTGAAAGAAGGAAAGGATAATAAAAAAAAATATTGGAAGGTAGTAAAGAAAAATAGCCAAAAAAAAAAAGCGACTTGTTTAAAAATAAAGGTAGTTTAAATCCGTAGCCAAAAATGAAGTTAGTCCGCTTTGTTTTCAAGAACTTTTTCCCAGAATTCGCAGACGGATTGATCATTTTGTGATACTTGTTGAAAAATGATAATCGAGTGAAGAGACGTCTATGAATGGTAACGGAATGTATCAAAAGATGCACCACAGTGTACGGGTATTATTAACATTTGGAACTTAGTTTAAAACAAGAGGATTTTTTTTTCAATACAAATATTGGCAAGTAGCAAACATGCTATCAAAACAAGATTCTATGGATTCAGATAACAATACTTAATAAGGATGTAAAACAGATTTGATGATTGAATGATTGATAATAATGAGTTATTATGGATTAATGATGGGAAGTGTAATTAATGAGGGAATGTCAACATCACGTAACACACGATTGATGATATTTGATTACATAAGATGAAGAAAGATATTTATGTAATAGAATATTGATTTCATAATGAGGCAAGTGGCTACACTATGTCCGCCCTAGAAATGTCTTGTAGAGTTTTAGTTAGTGGTGCCTGTCAGACTGTCAGTTGTTGAACATGGATGGTGGTTGCTGGCTTCAGACTGCAGTATGTGTCAGGAGTCATGTTCTGATTGATAATGGACTCTATCTGTATGTATGTAAACTGAATTTTTATCAACAGAAATAAATTAACAGATCTTGCCAAGGTAAAACACTACAATTCTTTAAACTACCGTAGAAGAAATTATACATTACATTCTGGAATTCCCGACAGGGAATTCCACAAACCCTAGTAACAATAATAATTCAATAAGTAAATACATATATGTATATATAAATAAATATTTACATCAAATAAACATTTCCCTTGGCACATATATTACAAAAAGCTTTTTAAAGTACAAACGTTACTATTTGATGCCAAACAATCTGAATTAAGAATTCAATGATTCGGCACTGCTCTTGTAAATTTCATCCACATGAGCTGCAGGTACATAAACTGCATGTTGCAGGGAGCTATGACTCCGCCCATAAATCACATACACAAACACTCCAATTACCAGCCACACCGATACCCGCATCCATGTATCCGCCCTACAATATCCCAATTGTATCATATCATATCACATCAAAAAACACTTTTTTTTTTTTTTTTTAATGTATCATTCTTAAAAACTAATATAAATAAACTCACCCAAGATTTAGCAGCAAATATACATTGATGAGAATCGACAGGATAGGTAGGAGAGGAACAAATGGGCATATGAAACCTGAACACAAATAACTAATCCTTAGAATACATATATGGCTAAATGCAAGAAATAACAACACACTTGTATTTTTTCTATATTCTCCTTCAAAAAATCTACCCAATTGTACTTCCAATTATTTTCTTATTAGGGCAATTTCTACTCGATTATAGCTGTGAACGTTGCAATGTATTTTAATGAAATTGCTACAATTTTTTTTCATAGTAGAATGTTATAATATGAAGAAATGAAAGTAAGATGCTTATAACGAAACTATTTCTTGCATTCAACCCCAAAATCTATTGACCATCAATGAGAAGTCAATTATATATCAAATCCAACAACATTATCATTCAGATTCAGTAACAGAAATATTACCGCCTGAGTGCCCAAAATTATGTCTGGCTTCATCCTGGTCTATACAACTTAGCACACCTAGACCCAATAATAACAGAAGTCCACCAACTCCACATAGTGTCAACCGAAAAGATCTGCCCATATCATACAACCAACAAACTCAATAATCCATCATCACAAATCTTACTTTTTGACCAGAATCCCATTTAATATGGGATTTGTTTTTAATTTTGATAACACAGAAATTAAAAATAAACCAACCTAGGAATGCCAAGATTCGAGGCTGAATATGTAAGAATCAATGCTCCAATACAAGTAAGTATTATAGCCCACCCTGCAATATTTCTTCTCTTGCTTTCCTTGCATTTGGCTGGCAAGATTCACATAATTTTATTATATAGCTTTTTAATGAAACATCATCATTTAGCAATTAAGGAATCTGGATTATAAACCTTGAGCTGATATTTTAGCAATTAGAGGATATTCAGCTGATGCTTCTCCTTTTTTAGATATATTTTTCTCCCCAGTCTGACTTTTGCTAATCTCAACATCAATTTCCTCGGTTCTAATGTTGTTACTATAACGCAAAGAAACCGAATCTATTGCTGCTTGTAGTGATGATGGAAGTGGGACCTCATCTGGCGGGACATACCTAAGTATCAACACTGAAACTGCCACCATTGTGAATGCTAGAAGTGTACCTACACTCACCTGCAACATAAATGAACTTAAACTGTTAAACACCTTGTTCAATATTTTTACTTATGGATTCATTTCAAGAAAAAAAAGATGCCACATACCATCCCTGCCAGCTGTTCAACATCCATGGCAAATGCCAAGGCAGCAGCAATCACACCAGTCAGAATTGTGCTCTTCACTGGAACTTGTGTGCGTTTATTTACTTCTGAAAAGAATGATGGGAGTAAACCATCTCTGGACATTGCCATCAAGATTCGTGGCTTCAAGACAACAAAAAAACAATTAAGTCAGGAGACACAAAAACCAATAGAAACAAGTGTTTTTATATTTCACGATAAAAAAAAAAAAAAGATGCTTACTTGAGGCAAAAGTGAACCCATAAGAGTCGAGCATAGAGCAGTGACAGCTCCAATTGTTATGATATACCTGTGAAGTAATTGATTTTTAGCATATTGAATCTAACATTCATTTTGTGCACATTGATTGTTACTTACACTGCCCATTGAACACCATGACTTGCAAATGCAGAAGAGATAGGGGTGTCAGGATCCATGGCATAATATGGCACTAAACCAACAATCACTGCAGACACCAACATATATAACATGCAGCATATAGATAGTGCAGCTCCAATTCCCAAAGGCAGATCCCTTTGAGGGTTCTTCACCTGTACAATTCCTTCATAAGGTTAGTTTAGACATTTGACAAATACTAGTCATATATGTTGCAATTTTCAAGGGAGATGGAAGGAGTATATAACTATATATATAGATGATCATGTACCTCTTCTGCTGTGCTGGCAACTGAATCAAACCCTATGTATGAAAAGAATACAGTGGAAGCTCCAGCAAGCATCCCATCAACTCCAAATGGAAAGTACCCAACAGGAAGTCTATACCCGATCCATCCACTTTTGAACCCTAGATATCCACCCGCTAAAATAATAAAGATCATAGCACATATGTTTGCAGTCGTGACCACTGATTGCACGAAAGTGCTCTGCAACATTAAAATTTCATAAAACAAACATGTTTAACAACAGTTCCACCACAACTAAGTGAAAAAAAAAAAAAAAAGATCTTTAGAAGAAAATGGAGGAATACCTCTTTGATTCCAACACATAGTAGCCCTGTAACAATAAACACCAAGAAAGCTGCACAAGGGTCGACCACAATACCAAGTGAAGGAATAGAATAGCGTGCAAGAAAAAATGGTAGACTATCTGGGCCTCCAAAGAGCAATGCCTGAACGTAGGAGAAATGCCGATTAAGTCCAGAAAGTAGTATCATTGCCTATTATTTTCATATACATACCAGATTAGGAGAAATGCCACGAGCAACTGCAGATCCTCCAATTGTATATTCCAAAATCAAAGCCCATCCGATTATCCAAGCAAGACTGAAAATCAGAAAATGGTAATATCAGCATGCAAGATTTTTACAATATCATAGCTTATTAAGAATTTGAAGATGAAGAACCTACCCTTCTCCAACACAGATGTAGGAATAATGATAGGCACTTCCAGCTGAAGGACAGCGACTTGCAAGCTCAGCATAACAAAAGGCAGAAAGAGCAGCTGCTATACCAGCAATAAGGAAAGAAAAGGCTAAAGCAGGGCCAGAATGTTCTCTAGCAACTGTACCCACAAGAATGTAAACCCCAGCTCCGATTGTCGAACCAACACCTGATAAATTTCGTAATCCCAATATTAATACAGATCGTTCAATATTGAACGAAAACGAGAGGATTTCAGAATTTGAAGTATGATAAAATAACAGAATTCTCTGTTTCGTTTTTGTTTACCTATGGCGATGAGATGCGCAATCGATAATTCCTTAGCCAATTGATGATGGCCTGTCTCTAATGACTTCGAATGAACCGAATCAACACGTTTCCTCCTCACCAAACTTCTTAACCCTGACTTTCCTCCATTACCAATAGCCCCCTGATTTGACTCAGCAACAAAACCCATCAAATAGAAAACCCAATCTCAATTACAGACAACTGGGTATCGGAATCAACGCCCGGTTATCAACGGTATCTGAGTCTTTTTTGTTCTCCGGTATTGGTTTATTTGGTCACGAATCTAGAAAACCTGCCAGCATAATAATGAGAAACAGAGATCTAGCTATCTATATCTTAGATTCAAGATAGATTCTTAAAGATTCAATCCTTCCCCCTAATACTAATAGGGATGGATTGGCTGGCAGATTTGGGTAGATATCAAGACGCAACCAAACCAAACCAAGCCTTGCGTTGCGTATCAATGGAGAAAGCGTCAGGATGGTTTGTCTGGTTATATGCTGGCTCTGTATTATAAATATAGGCACTGTTGTTATTGGATGAACCGGGCCCATTATGGGCGGGCGGTCCTGAATTTTCTATTGTTTGTTTGTGTAGTCTCTTGCTTACGTTCATTCATTCCTAATCCTCCTGCCTATTGCTTTTTCATTGATTCCTAATATTATTTCGTGAAAAGAAAAAAAAAAATACAAAACATGAAAGGAGACCCATTGTTTTTTGGTCATTTCACACATCATCATTCAACAAAGTTAGCTTCTGTCTTCTGAAGATATTATAATGATAATCGAGTAATATACAATTTCAATATAGTGCTACACAATGACTGGGTCCACCCTAATGAACATGAATAAATGAAATACTTGTTTATTGTTCATTTTACACATACAATTATTTACGGTTCAAGGGATTTTCAACATAGTACCTATAGTTTTAGATTTTACAATAAAGTCACAAAGTTTTAAAAGATGAGTTGATTAGATGGATATCAAATGATTTGAATCTTTGATTTTGATTGTGTTTTTGTACTTCTTTTTATCAAGGTGCGATTTTAAAGATTTGGTGTGGAACGTTACACTTTGAACATCATCATGTATTCATGTATCTATTAGATAGAAGATGAAAATGGTTATAGTAATAATGATAATAATGATGAACTTGGACTGATAATTATTTTGACAAAAACACAATGAAAATGGATGAGATAGTTGTAAATGGTTGTGATGCTGATAAAAGAGATGGACAATGACCAAATAAGAATCAATAATATCTAGCTCTACGCTTTGCTATAGCCTTTACGTCAAAGTTGACACCAAATCATCTGTTAGACAACTAAGTTGCTTGTAATAAAATCACATGCAACAAACCTAGTTGTTTGAAGCTCAACTCTCCAAAAGCTTCAAATAATATCATGTTTTAAGTTTGATTTTTAGTTTCATGCAGCTTACTAACTTTTAACAATTTTTGTTTGTCGTTAGTTTGGTGTTACTATAGGTTTTTGAAAAACAATAGTCATGAGAAGTCAACTTGCGTAATCTCAAGTGTAAAGGGATCCAAATATTAAAAAAAAAAAAAAATTACCCCCTCTTCAAAAAAATTATTGGATCCGCCCTAGGATCCAATATGTACCTAATGTCGATTCTTGCCCCCCTAAAAAAGTAAATTATAGTGCTAGAAAAGGCAAGAACTTAAGTCATGATGGCCAAAATGAGAACTCTATGAAGCTATAGGGGCCAATGTGAAGAATTGAATTAGATATTGGTCCATGCAGGTAAGTAATAATTGGGGCCTTTACCAATATTAAATGGAGTCAACATCGGTATTGCTAACTTTCTTTCAACTAAAACTAGCAATGCCATGTCATTTATTTCTTGCAGTTCAAAGGCTTTATAGTGTGTCCTTCTCATTGGCCTTAGTGTTGGTGCTGCTAATATCACTTCGGGCTAGCTGTGTATTTTTTTTTGGTGACAATATCTTTCTATAAGGCCATTAGATGTATGTATGTATTTTCACGCACAAGAATTCTATGTGGTGTAGCTAGCTTTACCGATTCTTTCGGGGATTATGATTGGCTAGCTCCAAACTCTCATTGGTTTTTTTCTCTTGTTCACTAGCATCATCCCCAAACAAATGTATTGTGAACACACTACAAGAAATATATCCTTTAGCGGCGACACTATTAGCGGCGACTATTGGCTTTACCGGCGACTCTAGCTAGAGTCGCCGGTAAAACCAATAGTCGCCGCTAATAGTGTCGCCGCTAAAGGGTTGTCACCCGAATCCGCACTTTCCCCCTACATTGCATCTCAACCGTTCGATGAGATATCCAATCCAACGGGTGGGGTGCCTTATCCGGTCTAACCTAATACCGGCGACACGCATGTCGCCGCTAAAACTCTAAAAAAGTCGCCGCTAATTGTCTGCTAAAAATGACGCGGTACCCTTCCCTCCAGTTTGTCGCCGCTATTAACAATTGTCGCCGGTATTGACCCTCGCGTCGCCGCTAAAGGTGTCGCCGCTATTGATGATCGCAGATAAAAAAAAAACGCACGCAGATTACAGTTCCTTCTTCATTTCCCTTTCTGTTTGCTTCGAGTTCCTTCACCATTTTTCCGATTTCTTCTTCAATCTGCTTCTTTCAAGCAAATTTCTCCCCTCATTGTTTCAAGCAAGTGTCCCTAGGTGTGGTTAAAGCTTTGGGATCAATTTCTACCTCCATTTCTTGAAGAAAGGTAAGTTTTATTTTGATGATTTCATTTTTGTGTTGTATGAATGATAATAAATTGCTCATGTTCTTTATTTTTGGTGGTGTTGTTTTGGATTAGAAGCATTGTTCCAAGCAAGTGGTTAAAGCTTTGGGATCAATTTGTAGGTGCCTCCATTTGTTGAAGAAAGGTAAGTTTTTTTTTATGATTTCTTTTTTATTTTGTATGAATTTTGATTTGTAGCTTTATGTAGGATTGAATGATAATAAATTGTTCATATTTTTGTTTTTGGTGGTATTGTTTTGGATTAGAAGCAAGTTATTCAATTTTTTGTTTATGGTTATTTAATTGCAATTAGTTGTATAGCTTCAAGTTGTATTTATATGTGAAATTATGTGATAATTGTCATATGTGAAAATTGGATTGTATATTTTGTATTTTTTTGAATATATGTGAATTTGGTATATATATTCCAATGTATGTGTGTTTGATGTATATGTGGTATATTAGTAGAAGTTATATGTATTTGTTATAAGTAGAATGTTATTGTGTGTATGTGAATGTATGTATGTTTGTTGTAAATGTGATATATGATTGTGAAACTTTTGTATTTGGTATAAATAGGATGTTATTATGTATATATGTGAAATTATGTGTATTTGGTTTAAATAGGATGTTATTTTGTGTGTATTTGTATTTGATGTATATGTGGTATATGTATGTAAAAGTATGTGAATTTCACCTTCTTATGTATTATGTAAAACTATGTGGTTTTGGTATAAGTAGGATGCTATAATTGAAATAAAAAAAAATACATTATTTTTATAAATTGAAAAAAAAAACACAAAAAAAAACTATAAAATTGTTTAAAAACTTATATACAAAAACTAGAAAGCTTCTAGTTTTTACCCAAGCTAACTCCAAATTAATTAACCAATAAGTTATATAGTTAACTTATAATTGGAAAAAAAAACACAAAAAAAATTATAAAAATCTTTAAAAACTTATATACATTTTAATCTCGACGGTAAAAAAAACAACACAACAACATAATACGTATGTAAAAGTATGTGGTTTTCTTATAAGTAAGATGCTATAATTGAAAAAAAAAATACATTATTTTTATAAATTGAAAAAAAAAACACAAAAAAAAACTATAAAATTGTTTAAAAACTTATATACAAAAACTAGAAAGCTTCTAGTTTTTACCCAAGCTAACTTACAAGTAATTTTAATTAAAATTAATTAAAAAAATGCATAAATAAAAATTTTTAATTTATTTTTTTCATTTCTTTATTACTTAATTTTTGTATTATTTTAGATGTAAAAAAATGTGGATTGAAAAAAAAAACAATGCTAATTCTGTATACTAAACTCTAAACCCAAAATTATGTTTCAGCAACATCATGTCTATTGATAAAAGTTGGACTAGTAATCCATATCGAAACCATCTCGAGTTCCAAGCAGGACTCAAAGCTTTTATTGAGAAGTCGAAGTTGCACGTTGATAGTAATGGTAAAATCAGATGTGCGTGTGAAAAATGTGATAACCGTTACTTCAAGTACCCGACTGTAGTTGAACGCCATATATTTATAAATGGTTTCAGTAAGGCGTACAAAATTTGGATCTATCATGGTGAATCTTTTATTCCTCCCGTCGTCTTGCCAAGTAACGAAATGGCCGATTTAATCGACGATGTGATGTGGGAGTCGAGAGAAAATGATACCAACCTCGATGAAGGAACCTCGAATACAAGGGGTAGCGGTGTGGATGATGATTTTGCACAGTTGTTGGAAGAAATGGAAACTCAATTGTATACTGGTTGCATCTTTTCTTCCCTTGAGTTTCTAGCAAAGTTAATGCATATCAAGGTGAACAACAAATGGACTGATAGTTCATTTGATCAACTCCTTGAGCTCTTGCAATTAGCATTTCCCAAAGGCAACAAGGTTCCCCTTTCACATTATCTAGCCAAGAAGAAACTAAAGTCTATTGGCCTGGGGTATGAGTCGATACATGTGTGTAAAAACGATTGTTGTCTCTTTTGGAAAGAACATGATTCACTGCAAGTTTGTCCCGTTTGTAAAGAGAGCCGATGGATCGATAAAAACACCAAGGGTAAGAAAGTACCTCATAAGGTGTTACGGTACTTTCCTGTGACCCCTAGACTACGACGTTTATATTGTTCGAGGCACACTGCCAAAAATATGATTTGGCATAGTACCAGACGTTCAGAAGATGGTGTGATGATTCATCCTGTTGATGGGGAACATTGGCAAGATTTTGATAAAAAATACCCCGACTTCTCGAGTGAACCCCGTAACGTACGCCTAGGTCTTTCAGCTGACGGTTTCAATCCATTTGGAAACATGTGTAATCCACATAGCACATGGCCGGTCATACTCACCACATACAATCTGCCACCCTGGCTTTGTATGAAAGAGTCATCATTCATGTTGACTTTGTTGATTCCAGGACCGAAAGCTCCAGGTAAGGATATGGATGTTTTCCTTAGACCGTTGGTGGAAGAGCTTAAACATTTGTGGAACTCAGGCGTACGTATTAAAGATGCGGCGACAAACACATTCTTCACGATGAGAGCTATGTTGTTGTGGACAATAAACGATTGGCCAGCTCGTAGTAGTTTATCGGGTTGAGTGGGCAAGGGTATAGAGCATGTGCTACTTGCAATGAAGACACTCCTTCGTACCGTGCAACAAACAAAGTCGTATACATCGGTCATCGTCGTTTCCTAGATGCTAATGATCCGTTAAGAAAGAGGTTGGACTTTAATGGGATGGAAGAGACAAGACCCGCTCCGAGACACTTTAATAATGATGACATACAAGAGCAACTAGGTCGTCTACTAACTCGTAAACCGGGTAAACATCCTGAGCATGGAGGCGGGGAGCCAAAGCGGCAAGATTATGAGTTGAACTGGTCGAAGCGAAGCATTTTCTTCG